GGCGATCGATCGCAAATTTAGGGCAATCGATTGCCGGCTATGTCATCAATTGCAACCACATCAGCATTGGATAAGGCTGCCAAGTCATCAATCGCCAAAGTCACGATCAATCGCAGCCAATCTATGATTGTTCGCCCACATCAGCGCCAATTCAGCGGATAGGATTGCTAGTGGTCAAAGATAAGGATGCCACGTCAGCCACAATCGATCATCAAAGTTGACGATCGATCGCCACCACTGCTGGCAGTGAACTATTTTATCCCTGACTCCTCCCGAACTTCACCTATCACATAGCTGGGAGATTGAACCAATTAGAAGGCCATTTTTTGACTTGTTTAGCACTCCTAGGAGCATGTATATAAAGTAAATTGAACCATTTGTTAGGGGTACTACCATTATTCCAAGAATTGTTAAGGGCATTTTTCAAAACATACATTTGGATGAAGAATGAACCAAATGAAACAAGTTCATTTTATTTAAGGGCATTTTGGACAACTTTGGAAAATTTCAACACTTAGTTTCCAAAAATGAAATTTCTAGAGAGACTTTGGTGTTTTAGTATTCACATGCATTATAGATAGGCATTCTCACAAGACTCATGCATTGAAACATTCAACGATTGAAGGAATTTAAAAGCTCAACTTCACATTTCAAGTTGAAAGTCCAAAACTCATTTTCAAATTTTGAAAACCAACAACTTGTGCATAAATGACATTTCCAAATTTTTAAAGAACATTTTCCAAATTTTGCACCTTAACCATGAGCATACATCAATTTAAGACCAAAACTTGGCAAAAAGTTCCATTTCAAATCAAGTTCATTCATTTAGACTTGACTTTTCATTTTTAGGACTTAGAAACACAAGTTTCAACTTCAAGTCGCAACATTCATGCATTTAACAACTTAGCACAATCATCCATGCAATTCCACACTTAGACTTTAACAAATGAAATAAAATTAGGAAGCATGCTCACAAATTGTCAATTCAAGAATGCACATCAAAGAATTTCCAAGAAATTTCAATTTCAAAGTTACAAAGTTTTATTTTTTCCTAAACAAACTCATTTCATTTCAATTTCAATTTAAATTACAACATTTCAATTCCAATTTCCATTTCTCAATTTAAAGTGTAAACAAGTAATATGAGATTAACTTCACTATTTACCTTCAAATAACAACCCACACAATTCTACTTTCCATTTTTCAATTCAATTTTCAAACATAATTATCCCAATTATTTGTGACAACAAAGGTCCATTTTAGAAATTTGAAACTACAACACAATGGTCATATCTTTTTCTCATTTTCAACATATGTATATTAATGCACTATGTTTGCAAAAAATTTGAACATCTCATTCAATATCTTTACATGGCATCTCAATATGGCAAATTGGACTTAACAACATGGATATACAAGTTCATACATTCACAAAATGTCCATTAACATTAGTACTTATGTATCATAGTTACAATTTTTAATTTCCAGAATTTGAAAACACAAAGCAATACACGTATATTAGTCATTCATTGTCACAGTCCAAATTCTAAAAATACAACATCAACAAAACCAATTCAAACTGGCCATCCTCATTTCAACAACAAACCAAAAATAATAGCCCAAAAATTTCAGCATATTCTCCTTTTCAATTCTACAAACAAAACCAATTCATAGTGCCCATCCTCTTTTCAACAACAAACCAAAACAATTCACAAAAACAACAATTCACAGCCCAACTCCATCAACACAACATCACAGTTCCAAAATCAAGTCCCAAAGTCCATTTTCCATTTTCAATTTCTGTCCAATTGTATTTTTAATTTTCAGTTATTTAATTTTTTTTTGATTTTTCAGTTTCAATTTACAAAGATGCATCTATACATATATAATGAAAATATAAAACAAAATGGAAAAATAAAAATGAAAAGCATAAAGAAAAAAGAGATGCATACCCGAGATTGAGAAAGGATGAGGAAAACAGAGGAAGACTCAGGGAGATTCTAGAGAATTTTTGGACTAACCATGGCCGGAGAAGATGACGGATTTCGGCTGGAATTTGGTCGGAAATTGCAGAGATGCTGGCAGTTTCTCCTTGGCCTAAATAGCATGGATTGTCTACCTATCTAGGAATTTAATTGCAATTACACTACAATTACACTAATGACAAGGAAATTAAACTAATTAACTAGGGGTGTAGAACAATCCATCAAGCATAAGCATAACCCATCAAATCAATCACAAGTGTATCCAATAAGGACTATGCATGACCATCACTAGATTCAGAATTCAAACACACATAGACATGCATCAAATTTATAGAATCTAATGTAGAGACATAATAATCCATTTCATCACACATAGACATGTAAATAAATTGGAAGATTAATTGGAAGAATTGAACCATGTAAATCGCAACATTTATTAAATCACAAGGTCAATACATTATTTACAATAAGAATCCCCAAAAATATTAAAGAGCTAGAGTTTTAGAAGGCAAGCCTAGGGCACTTCCAAGCCCCAAGAGATTGATTTAGCCACTGATGAATGTGGTCTTGCAACCCTCAAGGGCTATCTTTATGGTTGAATTCATATTCTTGCTCCTTTCTTGCATCTTCTCTTGCTCAAGAACCCTAATCTCTAGAAAGAGAAACTATGCGTAGCTATGTAAAATGTAACCAAAAAAAATGTAATAAAACTTGGAACTCTATACAATTGGTTCAATTTGATTTAAATACAAGCTCCTTTGTGTAGTGAACAAGTCAGAAAATAGCCTTTTCATTGGTGTAGTCTCGTAGCCCCAAGTTAGGTAGAATTCGGGTACGCTAGGTAATTAAACAGCTCACTGCCAGTAAGATTTCAATTGATCGCCAGGGTCTTTGATGGATCGCAAATGGCTTCAATTGATCGTAAATGACATGGCATGCTTATCTAGAAAACTGGCAACCTTATCTGCTTAGCTGGCGCTAATGTGGCACTACGAATGATAGTCAAAAGCTTCAATTGATTGCCCCTTGGAACGAACAATGAGGTGGCAGTCTTATTCCTTTGCTGACGTGGCTTTGATGGATCGCCAACCTTCGATCGATCATGGATAAATTTACGATTGATCGAAAATGCTCTGGGGCAAATTTTTTGACTTTTTCTAAATTTTCTTCTTGATTCCAAAAAGGGCTTAATAGGTTGTTTTTAGTCCGTTTAAACCTTGTTAACCTGAAATAGACAAAAACAATGATTAGAACTAAAATGGGAAAGTAAGATAGATGAATGGACTAAAATACCCTAACTCAGGTGCTAAAATGTGTCACATTTGAGCACTTATCACACACCCAAACTTAGATATTACTAGTCCCTAGCAATGAACTATGGAAAGAAAATAAAGAAATGAACAACTATACAACTATGAACTAGAAAGCAATGAAAATATAATGCCACTTTCGTAGGGAACACGGTTGCATTTAGTACATGCAACAAGCCTTTTAAACCCCTAGGTTACCCCTAGTGGACAAGTGAAGTCTTGTGAGAGTTTCCAGAAATGATACCTATAAACATCAAGTTCTTTCTCACTTAAGAGACACCAACATTCCAAACAAGCATTAAAAGAAAACTACCTCAAGTATACCATTTTTCAACCATCTCTAAGCAATCTCCCAAAATTTTAACAACAAACAAACAAATATGGTCCTCCACACATCAAGATGATCATGCAAATCAAAACAACTCTAGCATCATTTTTTAGTGAACTGGCATCAAATATGTTGCTATCTTAGCAAATCAATGAAATGGGCACAACCGGCCTCAAGCTAGCATATAAATATAATACCAATCATCAAGACAAAGAATGAACCTCTTTATTTCAATTTATTTCATGCATGCTATCTTTTTATTTCTTTTTCACTCTTTTTTTTTCATTTTGATTTTTTATGGAATCAAAGACAAGAGTATGGTTCAATGTAGTGATCTCTTAAGCTTTCTAGAAAATCCATTTAACGAGCGTTAAGTCAATGATTCCCAAATCAGACGGCCTTAGGGCATTAGGTATAAAGATACCCTAAGGACTTACAAACTTAAATCAACTAGGGTATAAATCAAAACAACTCTCCTCTAATCAATTCCCTACTTCCACCTTTGGTGAAAAGCGCTCACTTTATTTGCTTTTACAAATATATATTTTTTATTTTATTTTTTAAAATTGTTGTGTGGGCCTTCACTTTTTGGTGCGAAAATTCAATGCTTAATGAGGCTAGAATCCCGGCTACTCGGTAAAAGGTTAGTTATTAAGCATGTAAGTTCATCTTGTCAAGAATGATAGCTTTCAAAGCCTACTACCTCAATTAGGATATAACCAAAGCAATGATCAACTAAGCATGTACCCTATAAATGAATACTAATGTGCGCATATGCAAATGTAGAACTCTAGAGATAAATATCAAAACAATCACACGAACAAGGTGATGTGGACCACAAAAGCAAGCATGATAACAATCTTTTGAAAAATTTGCCCCAAAATGACAACCCAAAGGCATACAAGGAGTATTGAACTCACAAATCAAGTAATTTTTAAATTCTAAGTATCATGGCCCTCAAAAGATCAAAATCATTTGCTAAATTCTCAAATCATATCACATGCATAGAAAAGAAATGTGCAACATGCTAAAACACCCCCAAACGTAATCTGTGCATTGTCCTTAATGTACAAAGATAGCAACAGATAGTGGAAAGAGAATACCAAATGGGCGTAGCATACAGAACCCGACAACGGAAAGCTTAGCATTGGAAGGCGTACCCCCAAGCTTAGATTCCAAAAACCTATCTAAAAATGGCACACTGGCAACTGTCAAAGCATATGCATCAAGTGATAGAAATAAGAGATATAATGGAAAACTAAGAATGAATGGTCATAAACAACATGGCATATAGCAATAATATCCAAGATATCCAAAACCAATAGGGACAATCAATATCTAAAAATCCATATATAAAAGTAAATCCAAAACCAGAAATCCAAAATAAAGATCCAGAAATGCAAGCATAATATAGAAAAATAGTAAAAATATCCCCAAAATAGCAATGTATCAAAACAGTATCAAAATAATGTCAGGAGTATGTAACGAGTAAGAGAGAGAAAGTGCAGTCATGGAATCACATCTGGCTTGAGCAAATCAGTGATATGCTGAAACATGTCAGTAACCTTGGCGCAGAAGCTGGTCATCTCAGTTCGGAGCTAGGCTACATCAGTCTTGAGCTGAACTACCTCGGTCCCGAGCTGTGCAACATCTCTCCTTGAATCAGTGATGCCTCTCTCAATATCAGCAGCTCTCTATGTCATCCGGGCATCGAATGATCTGAGCTCAAACTGAAGCTGAGTAATATCGCCTCGAAGGCTGGACTCAGAGCTGGCATGCTGAGAAATGGGGCTTGAAGGAGCTGCTGGAGGTGGAGGTGGAGTTGAAGAAGTGCCTGTCTGGGACTGTGATGCTGTGGGATGTTGAAAAGCGGTGGAAGTGGTGCGCTGTCTAGACCTAGGCTGGAAGAGGTAGATGATCCTTCCCGAGATCCCTCTTATGAATCTGCAGTCTGAAGCCTCTTTAATGCAGCCCTTTTCAAACTACCTTGAATAGCATTACAAGTCTTCCTCTACTAGGTTGCACCGTACTTCCTTTTTTCTCTCTCTTCTGCCGGCTCTGCCTCCTCATCTGGGTCAATATGAAAGCCCTGGTTCTCTAGAATCTGTGTGATCAAGTGGCCAAAGGGTAGAGACCAGGAATTCGCTGTCATTCCGTCTGAACACCGTATTATCCCAATACTTATGGATAATCTCCTAGATAATAGCAGGAATCGAAACCCAGCATCCCTGATTAAAACTGTACAAAGCGTTCAGAATTCCCTCCCGCCTCTTAGTATTAAGCCCACTGTGTCAATGAACCATAATCTGGGTGGAATGTCCACCCGCTCAGCATGAGGGTTGCCTGAGTAAGTAATATGAGGAGAGAGAGAAGCAACCATATCCGGCTCTAAATGATAGTCTGTAATAATTGGATATAAGGGTTGCTCAGTCTCTGTGACCACTACAGACAGGTAGGGGCATCTGGTGGCTATCTCTATAGCGACAGTAGAAATGACAATGTCCTACCCATCTACAGTAGTATGAAAGATCTGCGAGTCCTCCTCATCCCGTCGAAGGTGCTGGTAGAATAATGCAACCAACCGAGGATAAACCATGTCGCTAGGCGGTGTCATAATACTAGAAAATCCTCGGCACTTCATCTCATCAAAAGCCTACTTAGTCTACTCTGACTGGGCAAAAAAATCTGTGTCAAATGTGTGCTCAAGCTCTAGCTCTCTCCCAGAAAAATAAAGACCAGCCACTACTCTGTCAATGGGGCCTTGTGCGTCCATAGATGATTGCCCAGAAGAAGAAGTAAAAGATGATACAGTAGCCTTGGCCTCAAAAGAAAAAGAAAACTCCTCCCGTGGAGAATAAGGTGATTGTCGAGGCCCGGTAACTCTCTTTTCAGCAGTTGTCTTTGTCCACTGCATCTGAAAGAACAACATATAGAAATCAGTGCACAGGTATAAAAATGGGATCAACATCTGAAATGAAAACACCAAACATACCTGAATCAAGTAAAAGCAGATAATAGGAAAAGATGAACATGCTTATGCAAGAAATTATCAAGAAGACTTCAAGAACAATATTCAAACCATTTTCTGACATTTTGGAACTAAAAAATGCTTCAACAGATAAAGAATGGATCATGGTATAATAAGCAATATCAATAATGCAAAATGATGCATTGGTAGCAACGAAAGCAAAACAATCACTTTTTGATAAAATATGCAAGCATGTGACCAACATAACAAGTCTAGGATGTGAAGTGCATAGAATATGCAACGTGAGTTCACAAACCTAAAATTGAAGAAGATTTTGCAATTTTCAAGCAAGTAGACCCTAGGAGGACATCGTATCATTTCCTAAGCAAGAATGTCTACAATTTCAATATTTAAGACCAATGGAGCAAGTAAGGTGATATGGAGGAAACGAGTCATGGCAAATGTCTACCTAGAACTCAAGTAGCATGTATATCATGAAATAGAGACTAAATGAAATGCACGGTTACCAAACACTTCAATCCTAGGCATGTTATGATACACAACTTCAAAGATGAATTCTAAACATGGTATGCAACATATAAAGCAATTAAGAGATGATGCACAAAATTCAAAACCAAACTCCATCCACAAATATCCCGTCCTCCATTTCAACAAAATCCATAACCTACGGTCACTCATGGCTCATGACCCCCTCTAAACAATATAGGCTTACAACCCCTTTTTAAGCATAAATGAAGCAAAGAAATGGTAAAGAATGAAAAAAATGAGAAACTTACCCCTTTGGATCAAAATCAATGACCGGTTAAGAACCATAGTCTCAAGCCCTTACAAGCTTTCAATAATGAATCACATAGATATAAGGCAAGTAAGATGGCATTTCAATTCAACTTTCCTAAACTTATTTAGGCTCAAAACAACATTCTAAATGAATCAAGATAACATCCCCCCCAAACTTATTTCAAATGGCATTTCAAAGTTCAAGTTCATACCCATAAGTGTGTACTAAGGCCAAGAACAACAATGATATCCTAGAAGTCCAATTTGAACTCAAAACATCCAATTTCCCCCAAACTTAGTTAAAGATCAAGAAATCAGAATATTACAACAAGATTATTCAAAAGATGCAAACAAGCTTTCAAAACAAACAATGTGACAAAAGTTTGTGCATTTATTGACAAGAATATGTAAAAGCAAGGAAACTTGCATTTTATTCCAAAAGGCACAACACTTTATTCCAAGAAATTCACATTAGGCCAATTCAAGCTTTATTATGCAACATCAAAAAACTTGACTTCCAAAAGTACGATTAAATATGACATTTCAACACATTTTTCAAGAAAATTTCAAGTTCATGACAACTTAGCTCAAAAGATATCAACTAGATGCCCTTACATGGCAAGAATCAAGAAATGGACACAACAAACTCAATGGCACTTGAAACATACATTTGGATGAAGAATAGAGCAAATGGAACAAGTTCAACTCATTTAAGGGCATTTTGGACAACTTTGGAAAATTTCAAGACTTTAGGTCAAAAATGAAAATTTTGAAACTTCGGGGTTCTAGTGCTTACATGCATTGTAGATAAGCATCATGACAAGAATCATGCATTGAACACTCAACATTTTGAAGGAATTTTAAAAACTCAACTTCACATTTCAATTTCAAAGTTCAAAAGGCAATTTCAATTTCCAAAAACCAAAAACTTTGTTCACAAAAGAAATTTTCAACATTTAAAAGATCATTTTTCCAAATTTTGCACCTTAACCATGCGCGCAAGAATCAATTTAAGTTCAAGACTTTTCAAAAAGTTCCATTTTAAAACCATTTCATGCATTTAGACTTAACTTTTCATTTTCAAGTTTAGAAAAACAAGTTTCAACTTCAATGCACAATATTCATGCATTTTCACACTTAGAACAAGCAAATGAAATGGAATGGGGATATGCTCACAAATTTTCAACTGAAAAGATCATTTACATCAAACAATTTTCAAGAATTCTAATTTCAAAACTTCAACATTTTTCTCTAACAAACTCATTTCATTTTCTATTTTCAATTCAAACTTTTGAACCAATTTCCATTTCTTACAATCATGCTTCACAAAGGTCCTATTTAAACAATCACATCACAAATCAACATTTTGAAATTCAATTTCAATTTTTCACATCCCACTTTCCATCTTAAAGAATTTAATTCAACAATAAAGACTCCAATTCTTTTCAATCAAAATTCCATTTTTCATTTCAAGCTACAAAAATTACCAAGTTGCATGTAGAGATTTAAAACCAAAACATAAGTTTATTTTTCCAAAAATTTCAACATTATTACCTCTCAAAACTTATACATGCATCAAACTCAATGTTATAATTCTTTAAACAAAGACAAACATAGCATGCATATATATATCGAATGTCACATCCCAATCAATCAAAATAACATCAACAATTTCCCATTCTCCACAACACACAATATATTAACAAAACAAAAACAATAATCCAAGTTTCAGCCCATCCTCCTTCAACAACACAGCAACAAAACTGCCCCAAACTTCATTCACATATGACCATACAATGCCTACCCTCCTTCACAATTGCCTAACCAAAATAAGGGTCACATCCCACAACACTGCCCAATCTCTATAGTAACAACACCATAGTGCATATAACAAGTAAGTCCCACAGTCCATGTTTCCAAATTTAATAATCCCAATTTTTCTTTTTAATTTTTTGTTTTTCATTTTCTTTTTGGTATTTTTAGTTCTCCAATTTCAATTTACAAGATGCATATATATATATATATATATATATATATATATATATATATATACATGGAATTGAAAAACAACAAAAAAAAATTAAAAATTAACTTCAAAATGGGTACATACCTGTAAGAGAGAGAAGAGGCAACCGAGAGAGAGATTGGAAGACTCTGGAAATTCTGGCAAACCGTGGCCGGAGAAGATGGTAAATTGTCGGAATATTCGCTGGTGGTGAAGAACCGAATCTCCTTGGCCTAAATCGGCCAAAAATAGACAAGACAGAGAGAACATGGAGATGCAAACCGAGATAAGAGAAAAGGAGAGCTCGGCCCTTGGCCAAGAGCTCTCTGCCGGAAACTATGGAAGACACGGCGAAGTGCAGCAGCGTGAGGCTTGATGCTCACCGGAACAGATAGAGACGACAAGAGGAGGTTCGGGCTTGGTGGTTGTGGCTTGTGGTGGGATGGTGATAAGAGCTTGAGAGATTAAGAATGGATGGTGGCTTCGGGTGTGAGGGGAATGAAACATAGAGATGGAGAAGAAAGGGAGAAATTGAAGGGGTAGAGAGAGAAAGCAGAGGAGGAAAAGAAAAGAAAAAAGTGAAGAAAATGAGGAGAGAGAAAGAATTATAAAAAAATTAGGGTTAAGGAAGCGAACGGCCAAAGCACGATTTTTGAAATTTGAACACGATCCATCTTGAATCAAAATTGATTTTTTCAAAAAGGAATTTTGGCTCCAATACGATCAATCGATGACTTTGGCGATTGATCGTAAATAATCATGAATGATGATAGGAAGATGAAAAGTCCAATTTCATTCAATCGCTAAGTTTGGTGATCGATTGACAAGCTGACAAACGATACTATGGAAGATTGAAATTTTTGATACACAAATTCGATCGATCGCCAAGCCACTTCGATTGATCAGGATTACTCACGAAGGATGGATACTGAGAGGTGATTTCTAGGTAAAATTGGAGTCTGCAGAGTTCGATCGATTGAGAAGGTTCTACGATTGATCGAAAATGACAGAGAAAGTGCAGGAAAAGGTCAAAACTGCCCAGAAACTCACATGAAGCACATTGAAACTTATCTAGACGACGCAAAAGATAACAAAAGAAAGAAATGAGAGAGGAATAGGGTTTAGAAACCCTACAAATACTATTGTTTAATGTCTCTAGGAAGATGTTAGGCTACTTAGCCCAGATCAAAAATCTTGTTTGACATTCCCCTCTTAATGGGATGCAATACATTTTGAACCCCACCCAACAAACCATTCTCTAGGGAATTTGTTGGATTTGGTTCAAGGAAGCTTGATGGACTTTTTCAAAACTCAAAGATGGACTTTTAGGCTTCCATGCCTTTTCAAACTTAACTTTTGATACACCTTGAGAAGAATCATTGGAGAGTAAAACACTTGATTTTGGTACATCAATAAGAGATGGAATTTCAACTTTCTCTTCAACAATTTTTTCTACAACACTAACCTCTTCATGTTTGTCAAAAGAGTTAGAAGTCGGATTGAAAATACTCAACTTCACTTTTATGTGGCCAAAAGGTTTTTTCATTACCCCCGTCCTATAATTGATATTAGCATTGGCGATGGCCAAGAAAGGATAGCCAAGGATAACGGGAATTTGACTTTTCGGATTGGCAATCGATTTCATGTCTGTGACAACGAAATCAACCGGGAATAAGAATTTATCAACTTTGATTAACACATCCTCAATGATCCCACGTGGCTTTTTTATGGACCGGTCAGTTAGTTACAAAACTACCGACGTGGGCTTCAAATTACCTAAACCTAATTGAACATAAATCGATTAATGAAAAAGGTTCACACTCGCCCCTAAATCCAAAAGAGCCATATTGATAATATGATCACAAATGGTGCATGACGTGGTAGGAGAGCCGGGGTCTTTGAATTTTGGGAGGGTGTTATAATGCAAAATTGAGCTCACTTGCTCAGTAAGCAAGACTTTCCTAGGTGATTGGCTCTTTAATTTCCTCGTTTGTGTGCACAAGTCCTTTAAGAGCTTTGCATAAGTCGGTATTTGATGAATGGCGTCAAGTAGATGAAGATTCACTTTGACTTGCCAAAACACCTCAATCATTTCATTGACTTTCCCTTGTTGTTTCTCCAAAGATGAGGAAGCTTTTAAAGCTTCCGGGAATGGAGCCTTTGGCTCATAGGGCTTTTCAAAAACATTGGATGATGACTTATCTTCAATATGAACATTTTGCCTAGGTAAAGGAAGAATAGGATCGGAGACAGGACGGGTGTCAACACGTGGTTTTACCAGTTCACTCTCTTCACTAGGGACATCAACTTTGTTGTCAATCACTCTCATACTCCTCAAAGTGGTGATAGAGTTCACTTGTTCATGTATGGTGCCTCCCGATAGGGGAGTTGTTTCTACCATAAATTGTGGTTTTGGCTTGGGATAAAGAGATAATTTCTTTTCTCTCTATCATTCAAAGTACTAGCTGTTTGCCCTACTTCGATTTCTAGTTTAGCAATGGTTTGAGAATGGGAATGCAACAATTGGGTATTAGCTTCCAAGCTACCCAAAGCCGACAAGACATTCTCTTCAAAAGCGGAACTCCTAGAATGACCTTGAGAATAGGATTGAGGATTGTAACTTTGAGGATGAGAGTATTAATTCTCATTTTGAGATGGATAAGACGAACGATACCCTTGAGAATTTTAACTTTGCAAATGAGGGGGAACATATTTCGCTTGGAAATCACTTTGATTTTAAGGAGGGTTTACACTATCTCCTTGGTTTTTCTAAGAAAAGTCGGGTGATTTCTCCAACCTGGATTGTATTTGATTTGAAAATGGATTGTTCCCTTGATTTGTGAAAGCGGCATTAACTTATTCATGTTGCTCACTTTGAACATGTCCATAGGGACAATTGGAGGTATTGTGAAGCACACTAGAACATGTCATGCACGTTTCATTGGAATGATGATGGGGAGAGGAAGTTACTTGATTGGCCGAGTTGTGATTCATCAAGAATTGATCAAACCTTTGAGTTAAGGCTTTAACTTCGGCAACAATGTCATTGGAATTCTCAAATTGACATAAGTTAGAGTTTTTCTTCCCTCTTAAATTAGAATTCCGACCATTGCAAGAGGATAACAATCTATGCATAGAATTCTCACTCATACTTTCAAATAATCACCATATGTCATCCTCATGCTTGTCTAAGTGTAAACCTCCCATTGAAGCATCTACCATTCCCTTATGGGTTTCTGATAGGCTTTCGTAGAAGTATTACACTACTTGCTATTTTGGAATGTCATGGTATGGACACTTCCTAAGCAAATCATTCAATCTCTCCCAAGTTTCATGTAGAAGCTCTGCATCCCCTTGTGAGAATTCATGAAATAAGGTTTGCATGGCATTGGTTCGAGAGGCGGGGTAATACTTTTTTAAGAACTCTTATTGCATCTCTGCCTAAGAGGTTATGGTAAGAGGCCTCAGGCAAACCAATTCTTGGCTTTATCTTTAAGGGTGAATGGAAAAAGTTTTAACCTTAGAACCTCCTCCGGCATGTCCGTGTATTTCATGGTGGAACATACTTCAAGAAACTCATCCAAGTGTTTGTAGGGTTCTTCATTGCTTAACCCCATAGAAATTTGGACACATTTGGATTGTTTGAGGCTTGATTTCATAATGTGCACTCTAAAATTAGGAAGACGGATGTATGTGGGTGCATTATATTCATTCGGAACAATAGTCTTTGAAAACCATGGGAGCATTTTGGGCTTGTTGCTCTACTTAAGCTGCGAGCAGAACTTGACCTACGAGAGGTGGTGGCACAAAGAGTGGCCTTGGCAGTCCAAGTGGAACTTGGCTAATTGGTGGTTGAGGAACAAGTGGTGGTCTAGGCATCCCCAAAGGAACGTGTATATTATCATGTTATTGCATATTGGGTTGTTACACATTGATAGGATTGTAGATTCCTTGTTGGTCAACATGACTAAGATCCTTAACATGATCCTCCATTGATGTAATAAGATAATCAAGAATAGGAAGGATTGAATTAGAACTACCTCTACCCTTGGATTACAAACAATGTACTCAAGATTAGGATTGAACAGAAAAAGAGATGGATTAAGTGACCGTCCACCATGCATACACAAATCAAGTCAACACACCAACAAATATCACAAATATTAACACTTCTCCTCCACAACAACAACCATTCAACAATCAAACTCCACATACATTGTTCCCATACTCTCATGCTTTCAACATTTAAAATAAGCGGCCTCGACAAGGACCAAAATACAATTAAGGTAAAGAAATTTAAGATACGCTCACAAAGTTCCGAAGCAATATTAGTAACTTCAAGATTAAAGGTTTGTTTCAAGGTCTAATGCATGCTTTCCTTTGCTCTAAGTACCTAATTGCAATAAGTAACAAGTGAGAAAACAAAAATGAAAGTAAAGACAAGGATCAAAAGAGTACTAATTCTTATTTTAACTCTGAATATGACCGTTGACAATCCCTGACAACGGTGCCAAAAACGTGGTGTGGACCGAGTCAAGTGCATAAAAAGTGTGTGTGAAGTGGCCACCACATTTAGAAATTTATAAAACCACTAGACACTTATACTATATAGTATGAAGTGAGAAGGGATAGTCCTAAGAGACCTTGTGATGACCCTGGATTTTTAAACCCAATGCGTCCTGTGCTGACCCATTGATGGGTCCGAATGCGGAAGCAAAATATCGAAAATATGACAAAAATAGTCCCAAGGTCAAAATGGTAATTTTTAAAAATATATAGATTTGGGTATTACCAAGCATACCGCTAGAAAGACAATGAAAAACTAATCGAGATGGACTCAAGAATCGCATGATTCAGAGTCCGGATGAAGGAGAAACGACAAAACAAAGAAAAACGAGCAATAAAGCTAAAAGGGTAAACTGGTAATTATTTAGAAATATTCGGGTGCAACCGAGCACACCGTTGGATAGACAATGAAAAATTAATCAATTTAAAAAAAAAAATTCACTTAATTTGGAGTCCGGATGAAGGAGAAAGGTCAAAAACAAAATCGACATCGCGACGGCCCGACGAAGGCCGTGACAGCTACAGTGCCGTCAACCCACTACTACTGCAACTGAGAGTAAAAACGGGTATCTAAACGGACTTTTTTGGAAAAACTCAAAGAAAAAAATCAAGTTTTCTACCCGACCTCAAGGATGGAAACCAAAAAAATGCACTGTGAAATGCCTAAAATACCCTCAAGAAAATCAGGTCTAGAAGTTGAAAATCTTTTCAAGTTACTGCCCAAAGAAAGGAAATGGGGCTTCGGAAGGTTTTTAAATTACCTAAATTAAAAATAAAATCTTAAAATACACCCACAAGACCCCCCGGAAGTTTCGGATCGGTCCTCACATTTTTCAAAAAAAAGTCGATGAATAGTACCAAGTACATTTGCACTAAAATCGGCAAAAAACCTGGCAGCAATGATTTTTTAGAAAAAAATAGATTTTTGAGAGCCAAGATGGCATTTTCTGGAAAAATACAAAGAAGAAACCTCCCTCAAAATTGAGTTTTCTATGTGACAATAAAGAAAAAATGAAAAAAACGCATTGTAAAATACCCGAAATGCCCCTGGAACAGAATAGGGTAAAACTCCCTAAAAATGCTACTTAGAGTTTTTGTTTCATCAAGGATGGCGTTGTTTGCCAAAGTGAGCATGCAAGCATATGTAATGTGATAAAATAGATGTGTTGCAATGGCCTATGGCCTCATGGCATGTCATATGCAAAATAGAACCCTTCAATGCCTTAATCCTATAATTTCCATAGACAAACAATGAAGTTAGGCTAGCATACTTATCATATAATTATTCTTGGCCCTTGGCCTCATTACAAACACATCCATAGTGTGACGACCCTGGTTTTTTAGGCCAGCGTGTCCTGTAATGAACCGTAAGGATGATCCGATAACGGATCCGAAATGCGGAAGCAAAAACAGAACACAAGACTCTAAGAAGTCAAAGTGACCTTTCATGAGGTTGTGGAACTCAATGAGAACTGATGCGGAAGCAAAAGGTCAAAAATATAACAAATAAATAGTCATTTTTGAAAACTGTAGATTCGGGTGCCACCGAGCACA